TTAATGTTAATTACAGTTGTTATTTTCGTTGGAACTATCAGTCTGTTATTATGGTACATATTGGATTTTTGTTTGATTTAGAATTATCTTGTGTTCAATAAAAAACTTATCATTTGATTTTATAGTACATATATTTAATCAATAAAAACATTTATTATTTGCTGATAATACGACATTGATTAATATGTAATTAAAATAAAATTTAACAATTAAAAGAGTTTTATTTAATAAAACGACCGTGGCTTGTGGAAGTGGAAACATTAAAATACTTAATTCTTGTAACATATTTCAATAATTTGAACTCAAAGGCTACTCAGCTTTCAAATAGCTTGATTGTTACTCTTAATTTTGATTAAGGTATATGTGCTTGATCCTAAATGATAATTAAAATGTTGAAAGAATATAAGTATTTTATAAATGAAAGGTGTCTGTCTGTGTATGTAGTGTGTCAACTTTTACCTATTACAATTTTTACTGTACATTGTGTGGAGGAAGTACTTTGAGTGATGAATCGTGATTACAGTACACATTCAGATAGCGTTGCGTAAGACGAGTGAATGTGCGGGTCAACTTTAGATTATGACGTACTGGTGTCTGTTTCCATTGTAGCTCGCTAAAGATGTGAACGAAGATGGGCAATAAATACTTTTAATTTTTCAAAGAATTTTCATTTCGGCAAAATTTTTATTATATAACAGATTCGAGTCGTCACTACGTAAAAATATTCTTTTGCGACATGCATGTTTTTCATAAAAAAAAAATATGTATTAAAACTTTTTCTTAATACCAAGTTAATTTGGAAGAAAGTTTCTTTAAATTCTTTAGTTTATAAATACTGTCAGATAATTCGATGTACGTTAATGATACTTGTAACTCAATGTTGAATGGAAACGAATTCAACGGGTGCGGAGTGCGGGATCCGTGGCCTTTCTCTGTTTTGCAGGCGATTTAACGATATTCAATATATGCAAGTAGGTTTGTACGTGTGTATGTTTGTGTGTTTACGATTGCTCATGAAAGTTATCCGATGGGTGTGACTGATTACTGGAGATAGAAGTTAGAGGTTAAAAGTTGGGTTGCGTGGATTTTTGAAAGGTTTTATTGATTACCATACTTTTTATATACAATAAAGTAACGAATTATATAAGTATTTTTAGTGGAAAATACTGAAAAACTTAAAATAATAAAAAAAAATGTAAGACTTGTTACAAAATTTTTGAATACGTAACAAATCAGATATGGTAATATAAGTGATGACTATGTAATATCAAATTCTTGTTTGTTTGCTCTAAGATTACACTACGTAGTTAATGTACACAATATCTCACAGGCGATCCTCAGACCAAAGTCGTATTTGATGACATGACATTGACCCGGGGTCAGTGACCGCTGACACGCGAATAATAGTCACCTCGCACTTGACAGTGCAATGAAGATGCTATTATCCAATGTTGTGAATGATGCTGTTAAACATACATTTTGTTTGTTTTTAATGTGACCTGAAATAATAAAAAAAATCGGAGAATTTAACCATAGATGTGTTACGTTTTTAGAGAAAATAATTGAGGTGAAAATGATATTTTTTCTATTAATCTATCTTAGAATAAAAAAATATGAAGTGGATTTAAGTTCTTTGAAATTTTTTTTTACTAGTACTTCATATCAATCACTACAGAAAAATAATGAAATGAGAACTGAATACTTAGAAAGTTATGAGTGTTCAAAATATATTTTTTAATAACGATTTTACAGTAAAGTAAAAGATAGTAACTGAGTAAATTTTTGATTTTTTTATTTGATACATAGAAAAAAGCTAGCATCTTTGTGTAAGTTTAAAGTAACCCCTTTTTTTAACAAATATGTTTTAAATCTCTATATTTCTGTCTCTTCGTCTATTTGGTCCAGCTTATCTCAGAAAGAGCTGAATCAATAAGGAATCATGATATGCAAAGTATAAACAAATTACTGAAAAAACAACTTGCTTACTAGTTTATTTATATAACTTTTAATATGAATAAGTTAATAAGTTTCGGAATACTTTACGAATAAAAATATGCGAGGAACATAAAACGTTCGCAATAAAAATCATAGGGCATATACATATATGATTAGATTCAAAAGTTCAAACTATACTTATTTCAAAATAGCAATTGATATAAAGTTTTTTCAATATAAATATTTTGAGACCTTTGTATGCAAAGGTTAGCTTGAAAACAAATTAGATTGTGCGAAGACAACTTTGGTATATAAAAGTAATAGCTCAGATTTATTACGAAACTCATCACTACATACCTTTCTCTCTGATTACAAATCTCGGTTTTAAAATATTCAAATCATAACTATCTTAACTTGTCTATAAAATATTTTTTCGCTGGTAATGATACGATACCAGTGATCCATTAATACTATGAAGCAACGCCAAGGGAATATCATGTTTTATGAAACATATATGGGTACAGAAGTTACAATTCCTAGATATATGTAATCCAGCTATATGTTATAAATAACATAGTGACCTGCTGACCCAAGACGATGATTAAAAATTTTCGAAATAATCCAAAAATTAAGGACATTGCTGGAATTGAGAAACTATTTTGTTAACATTAATAAAATTAGGAAAGATTTAAGAATCGAGGATGTTAAGGATGTACATTATTAGGTTTTTTAGTTTTCAAAGGATACTGTTAGTATATATATTTATATATGTGTGTGTGGGTGTGTATATGTAATTTAAAGATGATTAAAATATCAATTTATATGTTTTCGATGTTACTGTTAATGAAATTAATTGACATAGAAATCTTTTCTTTTACATCATTGCATTTAACAACAGCTTAAAAAACTATCTATGAAAAATGGAAAAATATATAAGCTGCTTAACATAAATGGTTTAATTCATTATGTTAAGTAATAAATTTTGGACAAAAATCTGTTTTAGATTGTTTATTATTAGTAAAGTATTTTGTATTGTACTTTCTTTTAAATATGCTTAATAATTTATATATCCTGTTATTTAAGAGCTCTATTTAAATTTTTATTTTTTATTAAATTATTGATGATATTAACAATTTTTTTTCGTCACAAATAGTATAATTTCTAAGAAAATATCTCAAAAAAATTTACTTAGGCGATGAGACACAAGTTAATATTAAATCAATAATTCGGGGTCTATTTTTAAAATTTGAGTTTGCGAAATGTATGACGTTTTTTTTAATATATTCAACAATTTTGTATGATAATTTCTATTGTATTTAAATTTTATGGCTTCTGTTTCAAATATTACTCAACCTCTTTAAATGCAATAGACTCCTAATTTGGACGGCTATCTCTGTCCACCCAAAGACATTATGAAATGGATATTACTGTACTGTATTGTTTTACAAATCATCTAGAGTACTACTCAAGAGACGACACTCCTACACTCATGTGCCTGTAAATGTATGATTTACATGAGTAACCTCGTATTTAAGTATGAATACCTATTTTTTAATTCACAGTTTATTTATTATAAGGACTATACGAAAAACTTGGAGCTTCAATTTCAAAATTTTACCTTACAATCTTTGAATAATTAAAGTATTGTGTATGTACAGCGTATTGTCTTTTGATATTATGCAGAAAATGGATTAAGTCTTAAAGTCAAAGCTACATTTTAAAGCTAACTTTTACTTTTGATCTGCATTAGGTAATAATCGTCATTGATCCGTTGATTACCAGTTTCAATGTTTTTTGATAGTAATCGGTTAGGAAACCTCACTTATCGACCTTTAAGACCTCTCAAATCTAAATGCTGATATTTCCTTCAATGCGCTCTGAATACTTATATTTTTAATGTATATATTTAGAGTTTTAATTTAATGAAAATAAATTCTTTTGATATACCAGAAATTTATGCGACGAATTCACATACGGATGTTTTACTGTCGCTATGAATTAATATTTAAAAAAAGACGGTTCACAATGATTTTTTAATTTTTTTAAATTATAATTTTAATTTATTATCTACGTTTTCTGTATATGGTCAACCTTGGCACAGTCTGTTGTATTGCTCCTAATTATGAGAAAACTTTCAAAGATTTCTAGTCTACGATTCACCCGCCACACCTTACGACTATTTATCTAATTGCTATTAATTGATGTCATTATTATTACACAATGACAGTATGTGTTGCATGTGTATTGCTTTATTACGATGATATATCATAAAAATTTTAACATTTCCAAATTCAGACGAAATGAGGAACATCTTTAGTTCTTTTATAAGGACGAAATATTTTTGATTATAAATATTATTGTCAAATCTGGTTGAAGTTGTAGTTAAAAATATTATACAGCATCAGTGCTAGATTGTTGTGTAGTATTAAGGCTTTCGGGACATCGAGTTGTCACTTTCCCCATAACGACATAGACATATGACATGTATGTATGTATGTTTGTATGCAATACGTTGTTATATTTCATTATAAACCAGTTACTTAATATTAAGTGGCGGACCTTGGCTTTCATTTATATAAAAATTATTACAGTTAAAATATGTTTCGTAAACTTTTTCGTGTCGCTTTAAAAGTAGTGTAAAAGTTTTAACCATTTTTGGTAATTAAGTTTTTAATTTTTCACTAATTGAGTAATGTCCGGATTATAACTTTGCCCCAATTTCTATTAATAGATTACTCAAAGGGATATCTTTGTATATTTTTATTTGGACGTATCCTAGTCACTATATGTTAAACGGTATAATTTATTTAAGATACATATGCATGTTAAACAATCATCCAAATTCCGTGAACGTACGAGTAGATGTAACACGGCTTTAATCCGGATAGCAATTAAATATTAGCTTTTTTTTCTCAAAATATAGTCCATTGGTAACCCGTCTTCGTCCTCGCTACCGAACCGATAGCCCAAAGTAAAAGTAGCTGGCAGAATCTCCGCTATAAAAGCGCCTAACCACTCCAAGAAGCATCACACAACCTCGACCGTTCAGTCAGTACACAACAATCATGGCCAAGTGGAGCATTGTAAGTGTTATGAAGTGCAGTGTAGTGTTACGGACATACGACCTAGTGCTTGTGGTCCCCTCGTTCAAAACGACTAATTAAATATGTGACATAATTGTGTATTATATATACGGAATTATTAATGGCGAATAAATTTCGCATTCGTTATATAAGTTTGCCGTTTTCTATCTCGATTAATATGTCCATATATAAAGTTTTATGTTGTCGTCTCGTGAAAGCTTAATCCGAAACTATATATTCATGTTTTATTCATTAAAGAGATGACTAAGACGGATATTTTTCGCAGGTCGCCCTCGCCCTTATCGGCTGTGCCGTTGCCGAGCCCCCTGTCGGCTACAGCTACTCAGCACCATCTTCCCTGCTGGTCGTCGGAGGCGGCCACGGTCACAGCTCTCCTCTAGCTAGCGGCGGCCACTACCACTCAGTGCCAGTCGGCCACCAGTCCTCTGAAGGCTACCACATCGACCCTCATCTATTGGACAAAATCAAGCACATCATCCTGAAGGACGAGATCCAGAACCAAGCTTACCAATCATCAGTCGGAGGTCACGGCCACGGCATCTCATCTCACTACGGACCTCCCGCTCCCGTCTACGGCGTACCTCATGACAGAATCGTGGGTGTCGAATTAGAGTCTCTCCAACAAGGCATCCAGGTCGCTCAGTACCACCAGGCTGAAGAAGGTTACGCTGGTGGTTACGCTGGCGGATACTCTGGATACTCCAGCGGTGGCTACTCCGGCGGTGGCTACTCCAGCGGTGGCTACTCCAGCGGTGGACACGGCTCAATCTCCTACAGCTCCCCATCAGCCAGCTACACCACCATCGGAGTCCCGTCCGGATCCTACGGCGTCCCATCTATCTCGTCCTCCTACGGCGCTCCTCACCACTAAACGAAACGAAACATTAGTCATCTCATTTCATTTAATGTTATGAAACCCATGTGATCACATCTAGACGTTAACTGTATTATATTTGTTGTTAATGTAAGTTTCTGTAAATAAAACTATCTTTTGTACGAATCACTTTTCTTAAATTTTGGATTCGAAATAACATGTTTCGTAATCGCTTTAAACTGTTTCAAGTGAAGTATGTTCACTATGTAACATTGGTCAGGCCATAAATGGTATTCGAAAGATGCATTAAGGTAACATCGAGCATACAAGGTGAAGCGAAATGGTAACGAGTTTAAAGTGCTATTCGATCGATCGACTTTATGATGTTGATGTCAATGAAAGCTCGATGCAAGATCGAGAGATGGACCACCTTTGTCTTTAGAGCGATTAAGGCGCGGCATACTTTTACTTTTAAAGACAACCGGTCATACATGATTCAAATCAGATAAACGCCTCGCCATAAAATATATTAGCAGCAATTTCATAATTGGACGTTCGCTTTAAATTAGCAAACATTTATTTCCACAAGTCCATTTAAAATTCTCGACCAATATGAGTGAGATCGTTGCGTAACACTAGTACAGATAAATCTATAGTTTACGTAGGATGTAATGGACAGGTTACCTCATACAGTTATTTTAGCGAAATTAGGAAATATGGTCCGTCTGTTTGTAATCGAGTGCATGATGCACTTTCTCTTGAGCCGTTCTCCTGATATATTCCGAATCTGTGTTGCGTAATGAGCTCGGAGCGTGGCGTGGCCAACATATATATAACACTAGATAAGAATCGGTCTGTGACTTACAAAACAGTGATAATATTTTAGAAAAACATTATCTGTTCCGCTTATCAAAAGAGTAAGTAGGTTTATTATTAACAAAAGAAACAATAAAATCTCGTGAATTTTGTCATAATAATTTTATTGACTATAAAATAAATAAAGTGAACATGTTCATGAATATTTAAATTCGGTGATCGCATGTCCTTTCGCTCTGCCAAGATGAAGAAAGTTGAATAGGCGATAGATTATATAAAACATATTCATATATAATTATTTTTGTTAGCGAATTAGTGTATATTTTTAAAAGAAAGCAGTAAGTTTGCACATTTCTCTCAGTATTTATTATGTACTCAGTATTTTATATACATACATATATATTTATATATCTCCCTCAAACTTCATGTATACTTTGAACTCATCCGAACTTTCTCTGATCTCTCCATTATAATGTTTCATTCAATGTAAAATTTACGAATAAAATTTTCTCACGCGATTCTCTAAAAAATATATATGTTGTTATTGTTTATATCGACTTCCCTTGCTCTTGTTATGTGTACACATAAAATTAATATAATTCTAGTTGAATAACATCAGAGTGATCATCACGAAATTATCAAACTATCTATAAATATAAACCACGAAGTGAAAACCAGATTACTATGTAGACCGAAGAATGTATTTGAAAATTACTCTGTGATTCATCTCGTATTTTGCCAATTCTTATTGCGTCATGTGTAACTTTCAAGAATATTCAGTTTAAATCGTTTTTTTGCTTTAAATTATTTTGAATATTACGAATTCTCGTTACTACCATTTAAACCTTTTGCGAAACTGTTAAACAATCGACAAATCTCAATGTTAAATACATTCCACAACATCAGATTTTTAAGCAGTTAAGTTTTACATTCAAGAAATATACTTCTACTGAAAAAAAATTATAATAAAACTGTATAGATTATTGTATTTCTTTATGACAGGCAACGAAAGGTTAAATATATTTACAATCATCAAAACGATCCTGACATTAAGTTATCGATATAATCTGCCCAAAATTGATTCACCAACAAAATCTTAAACAGTTTTGACTGTGACAACCGGTCGTATTGTTAAGTGCAATTTTGTTTATTATCACTCATAATAATGTGATAACAGCATTGGAGGAATAAACGATATTAATCTGAATATTATGTATTACAAAGATATCTTTTCTGTATTATACTTATCGTCAAAATAATAACAAAAAAAAATCTATTAATAGCCTCGTCTTCAATTTTATCTCACAATTTTTGATTGTAAGTGGTGTGGCAAAGCTTTAGTTGAATTATCAAAATGAATTCTTAAAAAACTATACAGAGAAAGCCTTGTAATATAATATATTATTAGCTCGTGAAAGTTAATGTCGCACATAAAGGAAAGTTTATTAAAGATTAGGAATTTAATGTGATACAAAATATAAGCAATTTAAAACTATCAAGTCATCAATACACATACAAACACACACACACACACACACACACATACACACACATATCTCTCTCTCATGTTTTATAAGAAAATATTAAGGTTTTGGCTAAAGCTCAGATTCATTGTTACTATAAAAGGATATACTTTATAATTGCATGTTTAAAGAAATGTGTTAATACATCTTAAAAATAATTTGTTAAAGTTTTTAAGATCAGAAAACAGGAGAATGCGTTTTTATTTAATAAGTACTCCTTATTTAACTATGAAGTAAGATAGCTACAAGAAATTAAAACTATTATTAAAGGTGCTTGGAACAATCATTAGTTCGTTATATCGGCTAAATATATATTCTTATCATATCATTATATGAAATTTTGTAGCAGTTATATTGTATAGAATATAAAAAAGGCTACTATAAAATAGTCAAAGGTAATATATCAGTTACGTTATTCAGACAGAAACGGCTAAATCAGCTAATTCAAAGGCATTAGCCGGAGCGAAAGGGTAACTTGCACTTACATAAGGCTAACTTGACGGATGCTTTTTATAGTACCACAGAATTACGAATCTATTAGAGTGGTATATTAATAAATTTAAATTAATGTACATTATAATAACTATTATTTTTAATGTCACAGTCACATGTTAAAATTATATTTCCTACATTAATTTACAATTTCTTCATGCTAAGAATATATAAATAAATAAAATTTAAAGTCACTAAGAATTTGCAAGGAGTATTGCGCACACGCATCTTTCATTGTTTATTTAAGTACGAGTTGCAGAATTAATTTATGCATAACAATAACTACATATTTACATAAATTTATAATTGTATTGACAATGTGTATTATTGAAAATATCCTTTCTCTTAATACTAAAACAATAATATTATTATAATTATTGTAAAAATCTCAAAGTATTTTTATCCACGTCGACTGTCTCAATTCGTTTCGTGAATGAAGTCACACAAGTCATTTACCCTCATTATATATAATGAGTGTGAAACAAATGTCAATAGTGGATCGTTTATACACAAGAAGTTAATTGACCTGCACCGGGATATACGGAACTTATTAAATATCTTTTTTAGTATGTTGGTGTGAATGGAATTTTAAGTTGGCATGGAATAAAGCTTTACATTGCAGCTGTTATGCGGAAATCCTGTATATAGCTGTAGATAAGCATAGACAATATGCTACTTTCACCGATCATCGTGAGACTAATATTGAGGACTAGTGCCATTGATCCGACTTAATTCAAAAACTTAATAATACTATCAATATGACGTCATCCTTAAGATATAATATCGTCTTAAAATAAAAATAACAAGTAACGGGATCCTACTTGTTTCTGACACATTACCGACTTTTAAAATAATAGTAATTATTTCTTCATTTAAAATTTCAACGTTCTATAACTACCAGTTAAAAGATTAACGGACAAACAAAACAGTCTTCAATGTGTGTGTCATCTATACACAAAAATACATTTACGTCGTAAGTTATTTAAAAACAAAACTTCTGTAACTATATATGAAGGATACAGCTAACCAGAAATAAAAAATCCCCAGTCGGTAATTATATTAAAAAATTAGACAAAGCAATCCTTTAAAAAACGTTCACTTTAATTATCATAAAATTTAATCACATATATGACCAAGGTTGCCTGTGTTAGAAAAATTATTTTGTTTAATACTCTTTGCAGGATTAATGTCTATTTAATGGAAAAATAAACAAACAAAAGCAAAAACCAGCGGACAAACGCTAGTTTAAAATAAGCAATGATTAATTTTAGAACAAATTTAAAAAATGAGTGAATGAATGATGATGAAGATTTTGAAATTTGAAAGGTGGACGTTTACATTCTAACACAAATTACAATCTAGAATTGAATCTTGGTCAGTTGGATACAGGATTGCACGCTTCCTTAATGTTTCATAATGAACGGGTTGTCTGACACGTTCAGATGCTAAGGAATTATGACCTTTATTTGATTATTATTTGGTGCATTAGTGTTTGAAAGTAGTAAATCGGTAATTATATAGCGTTAGATTGCTTTAATTTCAATCAAAAAAGAAAAAAGATATTTTCCGAACATCTGTCGTCAGATAAGTAAAACCATCAATGAAACAATTATTAATAGCTTAAGGACTAGCTTTCGGCCCGCAGCTTCGCCCGCTTGGAGTTCGGTTACATCGCGTTTCCAAGAGAACCTTTCAAAAGTCTAGGATAAAAACTATCCTATGTTCTTTTTCAAGGTCAAGTCTATCTCTGTACTAAATTTAATTAAAATCAGTACTGTGGTTTAGGCGTGAACGCGTAACAGACAGACAGACAGACAGACAGAGTTACTTTCGCATTTATAATATTAGTAGGGATTATGTACTCTATTGATAATGAATATTTAAAAAAATCTATATTTTCAAATGTTATATGCATACGGTCTTTAGCGCCATCGGTAACTTATTTTAAATTTAAAAGTTCACTTGTCACATATTCCTTTAAAATTTTTATTCATTAAAAGTCTTATCTGATCAATCTTAACAACCATTTTAATCTGTACACACGGAGACTACTAAAGTAAAACACTTTCAAATGACCCAACACTCATAAAAGGGAGTTATGTGTTTCGCATCGCGCATGCAAATAATACGTAATAGATATTACGTTATTGTTAGAACTTTCAATGACAAACCGATACGGGAGGTCCCTTCATATATTACAAACGGTTATATTGAAGGCGTACCTTA